AGTCCCTCAAGAAGCCTATGGACTGTATGCAGGAGCGATCTTAATATCTTAAATATCTTAATTTGTGTTCCGAAGATGAACGAAGGTCTTACGGGGTTGGAACAACATGAGGGTGAGTAAATACTGACAGAATTTTCATTTTTGGGTGAACTAACCCTTTAACACTTCAAATGGTCTATAAATTAACAGTATATCAGATAATTAAATATGGTTTATTTCCGTAAATTTTAAGTTAAGCCTGTAAAACCTTATTACCGTAAATTCTTGCTACCGTATTTTATACGGTAAATTTCTGGCAACCACAGCTGCCGGTGTTTTACCGTAAATTGAACACATTTTTTTTTACAGTGTAGCACTGGCCCAGATCCGTCCCACATCTAGCCCACATGGATTCCACCCACACATTCTCATCCCAAGAAGTCATCTAACTGACGCTTTTGTCCATATGTCAACATCCGATGTTTTAGGGTACCCTTTAATGTCAGTTAGATGACAATCCTAGGGCGTCATCCAACTGACGCTTTACCTTTAGCGTCAGTTAGATGATGCGGGTACCGGGTAGGTTTAGGTCTGGGGTAGAGTTAGGATTAGATAGAGTCATCTAACTGACAATGTCGGATGTTGACGTACTGTATGGTCAAAAGCGTCAGTTATATGACGTCTTGGGATGAGAACAGGCTAATTCTACTAGATCTATAGGCCGGATCTGGTTGAAAATGTATGTCTTCAGGACTTAGCTCTGTGTCGGTTGTTGATTGGATGTTGAGATATGGGCGTGGCACTCAAAAGTGGAGGCAGATAAAGATCAATAGCATGCATTTAGAAAATAGTTAATTAACTTTTTTAGATAATTTGCTAATGCTTTTAGCTAGTGATATGCGTAGTATACTCTCAGCCCTATCTAACACATTTTTACCATGTTCAAATTGGAATTTTGTTGCTTTTAGTCAAGGTCTATTTGTTAGCTTTATCAGGTTCTTCGTATTTTTCACAATGCTAGTGTGGTCGCAAGACTATTAGATTATACTCATTTACTTGATTAAATTTGGGCATGTCTAATATTTTGGCAATTTATTTTAAAAAGGGATCCCTTTGATACTTCCTGTTTGAGTAGGAAATACGCCCAATTCCGACAAAATTCACCCTATTCGTTTTTAAATGCATATTATGGATCTTATTGTGAACGTTTAATCTGTGCATATTTTTCATTTTTTGAGCCCCACATTTTTTTTTTACCACATAATGATTAAAAAATGTGATAATCGTTTTATCGTGACTTTAAATCCATTCCAGACATTTTTGCTGATTTTCCACAATAAGTGCAGAAAGCGTGGGTGGGAAAAGCCCACTGTCGCAAAGCGTATCATCATCCATGCTATTCCTGTCTCACAGGTGCTGGAAAACAACCCAGAATATGAAAATCTCCTAGAAAATGGACATTATGATGCTGTAGGAATTAATCACCACATGTTGTTCCATCTTCTCGTAGTGTGCAGAGAGATTGTGTGGAAAAAAATACCCTAAAGGATTAACATTCTCTTCTCACAATGTTTCGAAGCAGCTGTGGGTTTGTGTTAAAGAGCCGAACTCCAGCTGCATTCGCCGTGCATTCTGCGAACAGAAATATCCACAATGATATGAAACAGACCTTTTGCATGGCTTGCATACTTTAATGGCTCCTAAAAACACAGATTCATACTTTTGATTTGATGTTACTTGCCTGTCATCAGGTGTGTGATAAGCAACAGATGCCATCAGTCTCATGAACAGGAAAAGCGTGTCTGTGATCAGGTGTACATGATTCCCGGCCCAGGCCTGAGCAGAGTGATCTGTTAGCAGCTATTATTAAGATCTATGCTGTATATTTGTCAGACATAAGGACTCCACATGTGGTGCTTTTGCAATATTTGTGTAATGTTGTGGCAACATGAATATGACTGGAGAGCTTTATTTGAATGTCAAGTGTCTGTTGCATGGTGCCAATCTGTCTAGAGATGTGTTTCTTACTAGAGAACATCATTTTCCCGGGGGGGCGCGTTCTGTGATAACCAATCAGAGCTGGTCTGTTGAATACTGTGCATACATTAATGTGCTGTTGCGATTGCGAAATGTTATATGTTCTAATCTGACAAGCATTTGAGAGCTTTAGGACAATTTATATCAAGAAACATGTTACAAATTCCTAAGTACTTAAGATAATAAATCAAGCACAGAAAAAATCCCACAGGAACGTTTTATTGCTCAGAGGTTTTTTATATATATATATATATATATATATATATATATATATATAAACTCATGAGTAACTCACGTCTTTTTCAGTGCAGTCCAATTCCCAGACCAATGACTCTGATGAATCATTTCTTGAGTTGTTTCTTTTTAACCTTTATTTAACCAGGAAATCACATTTTTGAGATTTAAAATCTATTTTTTTACAAGAGGGCCCTGGCCAAGACAGGCAGCACACTTGTAGTTAAACATGAGAACATTTAAACATTAATTTACATATACAAAAATGTTCACATATCAATCCAAAACAAAGTCATTTGAAACACCCTTAAAGGAGTAGTTCACTTTTAAATGAACTTCAATCATTTAAAAAAAAAAACAAAGTTTAAGTTTTATAAGCTCAAATGGTCGCCTTGCTCTGTACTGTGATACGAGTTCGTGACTCTCCTGTTCGAACTCGTTCATCAAAATGAACAAATCTTTTCCCGAGTCAACTCGTTCATTTTGTTCGTTGAATGAACCAAATGACATGAAAAAAGATTCGTTCATTTTGATAAACGAGTTCGAACAGGAGAATCACAAACACGCATCACAGAACGGAGCAAGGCGACCATTTGAGCTTATAAAACTTAAACTTTGTTGTTTTTTATTAAATGAACGATCATTTCTGATAAGACCCTTATTCATCGTCTGAAATCGTTTAAAGCCCTTTGAACAGTTTGTAGTTTGCACTGAAACTGTCTTTTGGACCTTGAACCATTTGGTTCCCATTGAAGTGCATTATATGGAGAAAAATCCTGGAGAAATATGGAGAAATTTCTTTTCGACTGAAAAAAGAATGACATGGATATCTTGGATGTCATGGTAGTGAGTAAAATTATTAGCAAAATTTTTTTTAAAAGTGGAACTACTCCTTTAAATTAATTTATAGAGACCAACGCTTTAAAAAAAAAAAAACAATTTATCTTGTAATTGATTCCAATCAAATGGAGCAGCATAATGCCCTTTTACCCATGACTTTCGGGATGTTTAAAAGAAAATAATCTTGAGAACAAAGACCGTAAACCTTTTTTGAATGATATACTGGTGTAAATAAGAAAGAAGCAAACCCATAATAATTGCATATATAAAAATGTACCAGTTCCTGAGTGTATTGACAGCGTGTGCCATCCAATCTGAGACGAGAGTAAACAATGATGGATAAGGGCTTTTGAATTAGTAATACACCTTAATGCTCCATAAACAGAATAATCATTGTCTGTCAACAATGTCAGGCGCCTCCATATAGATAATATCACAATAATCTAACACTGAAGAAAATAAAATCTGTATGTTTTTATTCATCATTGTTTAATCAAAAACATACAACAAAACAAGTGTAGTGAATTTCCTGAACAGATGCATCTTATGAGTCATTATTTTCAGTGAATAAAAAACACTGCAAAACCATGCAGTGTAGTCTGACTCCCGATTGAATGAGTCTAATGAATCGATGCTTTTTACTGAATCAAAAACATGCAGTGCATCCAGTGACTCTAATGAATCAGTTATTTTTACTGAACCAGAAACATACAGCAAATGGACATACAGTGTAGTCCAAATCACAAAACTATGACTCTTCTGAGTTGGTGAATCTTTTCGGTGAATGAAAAATATTGCAAAACCACTAGTGTAGTCTGATTCCCGAATCAATGACTCTTATGAATTGGTTATTTTTACTGAATCAAAAACATACAGTGCAACCACCAAAGTAGTCCAATTCTTGAATCAATGACTCTTATGAGTTGGTTCTTTGAATAAAGTGAATGAAAAATATTGCAAAACCACCAGTGTAGTCTGATTCCCGAATCAATGACTCTTATGAATTGTTTTTTTTTACTGAATCAAAAACATACAGTGCAACCACCAAAGTAGTCCAATTCTTGAATCAATGACTCTTATGAGTTGGTTCTTTGAATGAAGTGAATGAAAAATACTGCAAAACCACCTGTGTAGTCTGATTCCTGAATGAATGACTTGAATGTGAGATTGAATAAGTGTACTCAACAACGTTGATGGCTGTTCCCTCAAATAGTGTTTAAAGTTTTTTGTCTTTTAGTATGAATTTGTTAGCCTTACTGTTTTACTTTTCGCTAGTGTGCTCCAAAACAATGACACAATTCGCATTTAGAAGACTAAACCCAACGTTAAAAATGTCAGAATCCAATGTCAGATTGACGTTAATCTCCAACGTTGGAATTCGGGTTGACTTATGAAAGCAACATAAGTCGGGTTTTGACATCAATCCGACGTCGGGTTCTAACGTCAACCCGACTTTCATTTCCAACCAAAATCACCCTCTGACTGACATTACAACTTTCTCCTAGGGCCAAGACATAATGGAGTGGAGTAAAAAGTATGATATTGGTCGTTAAAATGAAGTTAGAGTACAATTGTTTCCAGAAAAAAAAAGAATAGGCTACTCAAGTAAAGTACAGATACTCAAAAAGTAAATATACTTTGTTTATTGATTATTCATGTATAGTATATCATTGAAAAAATCTGAAAAGAAATGCTACCCTGAAAAAAAACAAAAACGATTGAGATTATAAAATGCATAATGCTCCTTACACACAATCAGCTGTCATTTTGTTTCAGCCAGAGAAGAACATTGCAAATTTATGTAGCATTTTTATATGTGCAACACCCTAAAGTTTTAACAGCTAAAAATAAAACCGAACGATCGAGTCTGAAGTCATGTTGTGCTGACTGTTCCTTCTCTGTCTCATTAGAGTTTTTACTAGTGCCTGTGCAGAAATAATGTTCACGTCTCCTGCGTGCCCAGAAACGTGCTGTGGTGTGCGCAGGAGGGGCTTTCATTTATGTTTAATGCCATTGTGTTACACTTTTATTTCTGTGTTTTTTTATGAGCTAGCACACGATAATAACAGCAGATCAGCAAAAATAACCTGGATTATGATATACCTTTTCAATGCAATCTAATCCATGTTGTCCTAATGATTATGCATGATTTTAATTTCATTATTTGTTCTCAGTTGTGCTAAACAGACCACCATCATTTGAAAGCAGCCATATCAGCTGGTCATGGTACTAGAGTTTAAACACATCTGTTGAATCAGGGTACCTACAGCACTGTGAAATGTTTCTGTCTACGGCCCAGATGAGGAGAGTCTCCAAGCCACAACATGACATCCATCTCAGGATATTTAATGAGGATGTCTACCGCTGGATTCATGTGAGGCCCACATCACTGAGGACAAAGGGTGAATTCTTCCCCGGCCGAGCACGGCTAGAGGAAGTAGTGCAGATGCCAGTGGAGATAACTGAGTGTGGGTTCGAGTTTCCACCAGCTGGTCAGGCATACTTCTACTGTGCACAGAACTGAGTGGAATTGAGAGTGTGTGAACCAAAAAGTATTACGCAATGTTATTTTATTTATTTATTTATTTTTAATGGCTACAATGTCAATAGTATGGAGACATTATTGAAAATGAAAATGACAGTGGTGGAAGAGAGTATAAAGTGTGTGTGGGTGAAGCAATGATATATATATATATATATTAATTTAAATTACATTTAAATATATAATTATACATTTACACATTTATATTCTTTTAAATTCATTTATTTACTATATACACTCACCTAAAGGATCATTGGGAACACTTGTTCAATTTCTCATTAATGCAATTATCTAATCAACCAATCACATGGCAGTTGCTTCAATGCATTTAGGAGTGTGGTCCTGGTCCACCATCTAGGGTTTACAAAGAATTGTGTGAAAGGGAAAAACATTCAGTATGGGTCAGTCTTGTGGGTGAAAATGCCTTGTTGATGCTAGAGGTCAGAGGAGAATGAGCCGACTGATTCAAGCTGATAGAAGAGCAACTTTGACTGAAATAACCACTCGTTACAACCGAGGTATGCAGCAAAGCATTTGTGAAGCCACAACACGCACAACCTTGAGGCCGATGGGCTACAACAGCAGAAGACCCCACTGGGTACCACTCATCTCCACTACAAATAGGAAAAAGAGGCTACAATTTTCAAGAGCTCACCAAAATTGGACAGTTGAAGACTGGAAAAATGTTGCCTGGTCTGATTAGTCTCGATTTCTGTTGAGACATTCAGATGATAGAGTCAGAATTTGGCGTAAACAGAATGAGAACATGGATCCATCATGCCTTGTTACCACTGTGCAGGCTGGTGGTGGTGGTGTAATGATGTGGGGGATGTTTTCTTGGCACACTTTAGGCCCCTTAGTGCCAATTGGGCATCGTTCAAATGTCACGGCCAACCTGAGCATTGTTTCTGACCACGTCCATCCCTTTATGGCCACCTTGTACCCATCCTCTGATGGCTACTTCCAGCAGGATAATGCACATGTCACAAAGCTCGAATCATTTCAAATTGGTTTCTTGAACATGACAATGAGTTCACTGTACTAAAATGGCCCCCACAGTCGCCAGATCTCAACCCATTAGAGCATCTTTGGGATGTGGTGGAACGGGAGCTTCGTGCCCTGGATGTGCATCCCACAAATCTCCATCAACTGCAAAAAGCTATCCTATCAATATAGGCCAACATTTATAAAAAAAAAAAAAAAAATACTTTCAGCACCTTGTTGAATCAGTGCCACGTAGAATTAAGGCAGTTCTGAAGGCGAAAGGGGGTCAAACACAGTATTAGTGTGGTGTTCCTAATAATCCTTTAGGTGAGTGTATATATATATATTATACAAAATAATAAATAATACAATTTCAATATTAAATGGGAGTGAGGGGTTATGCTTTTCTTGTTCCTCTGAAAAGGTTTTAATCTTCTTTTAGCAATCAGTTTGGACTTTACCCACCACTGTACAAGCTGATTAAAGTGAAGCCATTGCAGTGCACTTTAACTGCTGACTAACATACTTGACATACTTAACTAGTGTGACAGTACTGTCTGTGGCCAACCAGCTTCGCCATAAAAAAACATTCTGGTTGAGTACTGTAAATGCTGATTCACCACCTAGACCAGCATTAACCAGCTTAGACTAACATGGAAATGAGTTTTTGAGAATATCTAAAGTCAGTAACAGTGACGGGCAGTTAAAAAGACACCACATGGTACATGCGATTAGTAAAGAGCGCTGAAGTGTAAAATAATCTGATATCATGACTAATTGTTTTAATAAGGCTTAGAATTCCTTAAAGATGTTAATCCAATTCAAAGTAGACCACATGAGAAGTGGACCACTGTAAAATAAATCTACGCCTTTGAACTTTAATCCACGGATTCAGTACATTTCTGTTCATTCTGAGGTTTTTCTTTTCTATGTTTTTCTGTAAAATGTGTCCTGTAGGTCAGAAGTGAGTGTGAAATTCAACAATCAAACCTGACCCTGTTTACTTCCTCAATGCACATTCCTGGTCTTAGTGTGAATGATTCATCTGTGCACAATCTTTGTAACCTTTAATCACAATGTTTTATTGTGTACTTGCTCTGCAATGACATTTCGCGCTGACATCACTTTGCATTGGCTATGATGTTAACAAATACACTGTAAAATGTGAGGAGTTGACTTAAAGGAGTAGTTCACTTTTAAAAAACTTTTGCTGATAATTTACTCACCCCCAATGTCATCCAAGATGTCCATGTCATTCTTTCTTCAGTCGAAAAGAAATTAAGGTTTTTGATAAAAACATTCCAGGATTTTCTCCAAATAATGGACTTCAATGGGAACCAAACGGTTCAAGGTCCAAAAGACAGTTTCAGTGTAAACTGCAAACTGTTAAAAGGGTTTTAAACAATTTCAGGCGATGAATAAGGGTCTTATCAAGCGAAACGATCACCCATTTTAAAAAAAATAACAAAGTTTAAGTTTTATAAGCTCAAATCCTCACCTTGCTCTGTACTGTGATGCGTGACTCTCCTGTTCAAACTCGTTCATCAAAATGAACGAATCTTTTCCAGAGTCAACTCGTACATTTCGTTTGTTGAATGAAACAAATGACACGAAAAAAGATTTGTTCATTTTGATGAACGAGTTCGAACAGGAGAGTCACGAACACGCATCACAGAACAGAGCAAGGCGAGCATTTGAGCTTATAAAACTTAAACTTTGTTATTTTTTTTTTTAATGAGCGATCGTTTCACTTGTTAAATCACTGGAATCGTTTAGAGCCCTTTGAAGCTGCACTGAAACTGTCTTTTGGACCTTGAACCATTTGGTTCCCACTGAAGTCCATTATATGGAGAAAAATCCTGGAATGTTTTCATCAAAAACCTTAATTTCTTTTCGACTGAAGAAAGAATGGATATCTTGGATGACATGGGGTGAGAAAATCAGCAAAAGTTTTTTCAAAAGTGAAACTTAACTTAACTAAACTTAACTTAAGTGAGGAAATCCATTGCCTTAATAAACTTCATTTGAAAAAATTAAGTTATGTGAACTTGACAATTCCACATAACTTAATTTTTTCTATTACACATAAGTTTATTTACTTAATCATTTTAGATTCCCTCACTTTTTTAAGTTAAATCAACTAATCACTTTTATTTATTTATGTTTTTGTCTTTTTTTAGCTCAGCTAAATATCAGATAAAGATCCTTACAAGATGAACAAGATGGATTTACTTGAGACTTGAAGCAACACTAAAAAAGATTTGTTTTGCATTGTTTTTTTACTGAAAAACAATAAAGAGTCATTAACAACTCAAGTAATTTTTGCAGTTTAACTAAATTATTTGTTGTTATTTTATACAACACTATACATGAACCAATCAATTTGCAGTGAATAAAATAAAATGTCTTATATCCAACATTCTCCTTTTTTTATTTAGAAACGTGTCCCATTATAAACAAGTATTGATTTTATCTCATCTACAATTAATTCGCTGCAAATACTTCTTAGGAAAACGGCACATTCATACTTTTACAACTGATGCTGTCAGGCCACTGCCTATAAACATCTCAAAATGGTGTTACCTAAAGACTCTGCAAACACACCTTCCTTACGAATGGGGAAAGTGTCCTAAGCGTAAAATATTATACTGCAGCATCCACAGATGGTATGAATATTATTCCCTTTTGCGATCTAGCTGTTTTGTGTTTTTTACAGCTTTGGCTTTTTTTTTTACATCCTGTCCAGGTGAAACTGCACTCCATTATTTATGGCTCGTATAAAAATGTGCCTGTTCCCACGTGCTGCTGAAAGTTTTATTATGTTAATTATACATTGGCCCGAGTCTGGAGGCCTGCTTAGAAAGTGACGGTAATTATGTCAAAAAGGTGGTTCAACACGTGTGCAAACGCTTTAGAGCATTTGCATCTTTTTTCCGCTGTTTTAGTTGCCCGGATTGTGCATGACGAAACATGTTTTGAGTGATGAACAGTTCTCATTGGTGGTATTGATGGATGGTTAATGTATACACAATGTCTCCGTTTGAACGGTTAGATCTAATAGTGGGGATCAACAGCAGAAAAGCTAAGTGGAATACAAAACAGCAATGCAAAACAAAAGTGTGGATTTTGTGTGATCTACAGACACCGATTCACAATAATCAAACACTGAATCTGAGCTTTTCAGACTTACCTGATACAAAAACAAAATGTGGCATGCATATAAATAGAGGTAAGAATTTCTGATTGCATGAATAATCAGTTTTTGCCTTCTATATCCTAATCTTTCTTGATTAATTAGATAGGGGCACATTTCAAGGTTTAATGCACTTAAAAATATTTATAATCATGTTCATGAAAACAGAATTTTCTCATTTTCTGTAGAAACCTTTTTAATTAGATATTAAAATATTTCTAATATAATTTACATTTTTTATAATTTATTATTTTTGATACTATTTTTAGCTACTATCTAAATATAAATATTTTAATTAATTTAATTAATTATTTTTGCTAATATTATAGATAGTATTTAAATAAGTATATAGGCCTACATATATCAATTTAATTATATATTTAAATGTAATGTTAACATTTTAGTATTTATGATAGTATTTATTATCTGTAATACTTTTATTATATAATATTAAAAGTAATATACAAAAAAAACAGTATTAAACAATATATAAGGCAAATAAGCATATAAATGGGCGAAGTTAATTATATATTTAAATTAGGGCGATTAATTAATCGCGATTAATCTCATCCAAAATAAAAGTTTGTGTTTAGAGAATGTGTCTGTAGTGTGTATAACTATTTTGTATTTATAAATACACACACATGCATGTATTTATTTCAGAAAAATGTGTTGTTAATATATCAAATATGTATATATAAATATATATTAAGTATATACATGCAAATATTTCTTAAATATATACATTTATGTGTGTGTGTTTATACAAAATAATTATACACACCACACACACATATATTATGTAAACACACCAGCCCTAATTTAAATATAATATAATTTTTTAAATGTATAATTTTTTATAATAAAAACAATAAGCCAAAATACATTTAAAATATATTTAAAATATTTATGCTATGCTAAATATTTAAAAAAAAATATGTTTGGACAATTAG